AAAGGCGAAGATTGAACAAGTAACTTTAGATTTGCCACCCGTGTTTTGTCTTTGGTTTCGACTCATTCTTGATCTGAACCTTCGGCTGAATATTTTTTTTTCAGTTTCTTTTTCTTTCGGAAACTTTTTTTTATTTTCTTCATTTTATTTATTTATTGCTATCGAAGGAGACAAAATCTAGATTTAGCCATGTCAAGGAATGTCATAACAAATAGAAAATAGCAGTCTATTTGTATCACACACACACGCACACACACACACACACATATATATATAGAGAGAGATATACATACACACATATATATTTAGATAGAGAGAAAGATACACACACATACACACACATACACACACACACAAACATATATAGACAGAGATATACACATACATATATATTTAGATAGATAGAAAGATACATACACACATACACACACACACTTATATATATATATTTTTGTGCCTTCACTATATATATATATATATATATATATATATATATATATATATATATATATATATATATGAGCTGACGATTGCGTCTAGCATGAAACAGACTGTCGCCTTTAAGTGTTGACTTCAATGTTAACTTTTATATTTATACACGCTCAATCTCTGATATTGAGCTCTTTATCCCATAAATATAGCACACCTTAAGACTATATTTATTCATATATATATATATATATATATATATATATATATATATATATATTGAAGGAACAAAATTACAGAAGCAATGATTTACTAAAGAAAGAACACACTTGAAATGAAATATCCTTCACAAGCGACTGTATCTTAGCGTTTACATAAACGTGTTTACTAAGCCCTTTTTTACCTAATTCTTCACCAAAAATGCCCAAGAGCCACTCAATGTAGTTGTTTCATGACTGCAATGGGAAGCGACAAGAAGAGCAGTTTATATGTACGAAAGAAAACTCTCGATTGAAGAGGTTAAGTTTGTAGTGATAGGAATCAAATCCTCCCGGGAGTGTGTTTTTGGTAAGAATATGTCCGAATGGAACTTTCTTCTTATTAATGGAATACGAAGAGAATGAGTGGTTCTGGCCTGCGTATATGGTATGATGGGTTGGTGAATCGAGGGAATGTAGCGCATGAAAACTTTTACCATGGAAATGATGATAGAATAACGAGAATACTGCGACTTTGTGTCTGTGGGAGAGGATAGTTGGTTGGAAAATAATTCATCGCCTACAAGTCCGCGTAAACGCGTCTGAACTTTGTTGAAATTGGAAACTGAGAATGGGGCAGCTGCAGTTCAGATATGGAATCAATATTCCATTTTTGCTTTGATCTGACACTTGTAAAGTTCGAGCACAGAAGGTGGAGTAATGTACTTTATGGTGGGATGTAATAATAATAATAATAATAATAATAACAATAATAATAGTGACGAGAAGAAGAAGAAGAAGAAGAAGAAGAAGAAGAAGAAGAAGAAGAAGAAATATATAATACATTCTTTTGCGGACTAGCTCAGTTTAACCGTTTTATCCATGACGTCCCATGAGATTAATTTGAATATTCACATTTCCCGAATATGCCAAGATGAAGCCAATAACAATATTGTCTACGACATCGAAAATACCCATTTAATTAAATTTATGTATTTGTTTGATTCTGGTATCTCTACTTGAACAAAAATAGAACACAACATGAATTTCAGACAGTTCGATTTTTGATTGTGATGGGCAACATAGTCAAATACAAAAATAAAATATAGTTGACCTGAACAAAAATTGTTCAGATTAATTCTACTTGCAGAAACAGACACACACACATACATAACGATATATATTTTTATATATTACGAACAATATTGGAGTAAAATGTATGGCAAAGTGGAAAAAGTTTTCTTGCCTTTTAGGACTTCATCGGAATTTGTTATGTTGTTGCGACTACGCATGCGCACGAACGAGTGATGCTGGGAATTTAGAATTTTTATTTATTTTTTTTAATTTATTTTACGTAGCCCACTTCATTTAGATTATTTTTATTTTTCTTTCCATCACTTTCGTTATTAGTTATGCCATATTATAATAATAGACGTTCTGCCAGGAATGGTGAAATTTGGTAAGATCCTGGGCGCCAATTTACTGTAGATGACCTTCCGATCAAGGCACTCTCTAGACATTTTCATCGTAGTAAATTGTTTCTCCTTTGATTAGAGTAGAATTTTTTATGTCAAAATTATGGTCAGTCTCTTTACGAATTTGATGTATTACTTTGTAAAATGTCTCTTTTGTGTTCATATGATCTTTTATTTATTATTATTAATTCACTACTCAACGGTAGCGACAGATACGAAAAATTAATCGAGTAGAAAATAAATACTGAAACACGAAAATTTAACAAGATTAAGAAAAAAATATGAAAACAAATCATGGTAAAGACTCATAGAATATCACCCTAGAACACCCAAACTTTACGGTTTCCCTAAAAGCTACAATGCGGGTATCCTATCAACAATAGACAGTGCCCTCCGACAAAGCCATAACAAAAATTCTAATCCCTCTCTTTGGAACATTCAGTCCATCTCATAAAGAACTCAGACAGCCTATTTGAAAAACTAAGGGAAATGAACATGAGAGACGAACTCATGGCCAGTCTAGATGTAAAATCCCTTTACACCAACGTCCCAGTTGAAAAAATATCCTAAAAATGACTAAATATCCTAAAAATGCATCTAACACAATCAAAAGAAAAGATTTCCCTAACAACAGCTAAAATAATAAAAGTCTACCGTCTCCTCACCAATCAACGTTATTTCACATTTAATGATGATTTTTACAAACAAAAATTTGGATTATCAATGATATCGCCTCTTAGTGGAATCATGTCATGTGTCTTCTTAGAATTTATCGAATCTGGCACTTTCCCAAACATTTTACCTAAACAATCAGCATACTTCCTCTATATTGGTGATGCTTTATTGCTATATCCTCATGATTCTGATTTATCTGACCTAGTAGATAAACTAAACAAAGCCTAAAATACAACAGAATTTACATACGAAATGAAGAAAACAATATCTTAGATATCCTAGATATTAAGGTACACCGAGTTAAGAAGAATTAAAATTTAAAGCTTAAAATTTTGTATCCACCGAAAATCAATCAACAATCTAATAAATTTCTGTTCTCATCATAACAACAAAATAAAATCCGGTATAATCATCGGATTCTACTTAAGAGCATTAAAAATTTGCAACCCTCAGTATTTACATGAAGAGGAGAAATACATTGAAAACATTTTCAAGCTTCTTCAGTAACCTAATTATTTTATATTCAATAATTTTTGTTTGTTTAACAACATATTATCTTCTCATGAGTTATATAATACCGAAATTAAATTTTATTGGGAGCTTTGAAGTAATTAGAATATATATTATTCTGTTTTCGTATGTGAGTACATGGTAGATGATACTCAGCTTTTGTACATATACATTATGTGGACATAATTACTAAGAGACAGCGATATGTGTGTCTTTTATGTTGTTGTTTTGTTGAAGTTATATTTTGGAATAGATTTTGATTTCCTTAAGCAATTGTAGAATATTATAGGCATTAATGTCATGAAAGAGTTCTTAAAATTTTGTTGTTTGATTGATTGTGTTTAGCGGCATGTCAACATCTATAGGTTATTTAATGCTGAAATCTAAATATTTTGAAAGCAAATGTATGCCTTCAACTACAGATAAACTGTATTGTTGGTCATTTTGCTATAAATATATCTTCTGGTAATTTTACGATAAATATGTGTTTTTAGACTTCTATAGTGTTTTGTTTTTCTTTATGGGTTCACTATTTGCCCATAGCTGTGACCCTAACAGGTTAAACTACTCCGAGTAACAACAACGATCAAGAGGTTGTCTCACAATCCTCAAAACCGTCAATCACACGATCAGAGACCTGGCTACCGGATGTAGTTTATCGTCATACCCAGTAATTCTCTTTTCGAGTTATTAACCTTTTCTCTATCCAAGAACCTCACATACCACTCACAAGACGCCTTGCTTAAGAGCTTAAAATATTTATCCGCTTTTATGTTGATATTATCAAGTTGAAGGCGTTACACTCTATCTCGGTGTTCTTTACTGATCGCGTTGGTTAAATATTTCCATGATGGATTCAACCTCTAGCCTTGCGTTCAGGAATATCCAACGTAGGTTTACATTGCCCACTAAAGATTGATGTGGATCCACCAGTTTTCACGTGGTTATTTGTTCATTCGTTTCGTATTTGTTATTTTGCCCAAATATGTTAGTGATTGCGTGTGTGTCTGTGTGAGTGATTTGTTTTGTTCATCCGAGCCGAAACTTTTTTTTATTTTCTTCGCTTATTTTACTGTTATTTCTGACACGGTTAGGATTATGAGTGGGAGTAGTTTCTTCTAATATTGACACCCATTTGTTTTCTTTTGTTTCTTATGCTTTTGTCATGATAAATATTAATTGGGGGATTTTCAAAGTTGTTTTTGTTGTTGTTATATTATTATTATTATTATTATTATTATTATTATTATTATTATTATCTTTGATTTCTGGTGTATACTCATTTCTCTTCAGGTCCCGACCAGAAAACTAAAGTCAGCAATGGCATCAGCACATTTTCCACTGAGCATTTATTGAGGAAAAAATACCTAAGATTGCATACATTTTACATAGATAAAGCACTTCGTAACTTGTGAGTACAATTTTGTGTATTTCTTCAAGGCTTGAACTATCAGGAGTCCCTTCAGTGCGTCTATCGATAACTGTTCCAGTCAATCCGAGGGCTCCCACTATAACTGGAATTACTGATGTCCTCGTGTACCACAGATTTTGAGATTTCGATTTCAAAGCACTTGAATTTCGATAGTTTTATGAAGATCTTCAAAGATATATTAGAGTCTACAGGGATTACGATGCCAATAAGAAGGCACATTTTGTTTTTGCAGTCGCTGCTATTATTATTATTATTATTTCCTCGCCTCAAAAATTGTAAAGGCCTACGTTGAAACACCGTTTCCTGTACGATCACCGAAGTTAAGAAACGTAAAGCTTGGTCAGTACCTAGATTGGTAACCACATGGGAATACCAGGTACTGTAAGCTTTGATGTGCGGGTGGTGTAATGGATAATATCTCGAAATTGTTAATCAGAGAGATGTGTTCTAATTCTAGTTGGGTTCTTCATATTCACTTAAGTGCAAATACTATTAGGAAAAGTATGAAACCAACTCTTCTTCCCCCAGCTATGGGTTAATTAGTAAAACTTGTATCACTAAATCATTACATACTGCCCACCCACAAATCTTACTATCTTAAAATATATTCTGACTTTAAATAACCTACAAAGTGTTGATAAGCCGTAGAATACGAATCAATCAATCAATAAAAACTTCTACATATGGGAGTAATTTTAAATCAAGTTTGTATTACGACAAATCTCTATCTATAAAAGGCAGGATGTGTGTGTGTGTGTGTGTGTGTGTGTGTATGTGTGTGTGTGTGTGTGTGTAACGCATGCACGGCTGCAATTTTCGACGGATTTGCACCAAAATTTACATGCACATGCTCCAAGTTAGCGGGAAGACCAGGACCGACTTTGCATTTTCAACTCCCATCGATAGTGGAATTAATCGATTTTTTCATGCTTCTACGGCAGTTTTCATGTAGTTTGCGGCCATTTTCTACTGACCAGAGGGAGAGCCTATAGCTGGCCGCCACGAATAGGCAGGAAGTTTCTATTGGCCAGCGTGAGAGCCAACAGCTGACTGACACGAATGTTAACTAGCATGCTAGTATGCAAAAAAAAAAACGATAGTTGCATTCGTCACAAGTGGGAAAAATTTAAATCTGCATGGCACTCTACTGCAATTGGCTCATTCGCTTGCTTAAACTCAACGTTGATTCTGATTCCGCAGAACTGGGTTGAGTATTTGTTGTTAACATTCTTTTTTCATTCAGTTTTTCCAGTTACGAGTCCTTTTTTAAAGCGGATCGTTTTGTGTTCATTTTGTTTAGTTCTTTTTTTCGTAACAGATTTCATGTTTAGTATAGATGTTAGATAACATTCGCACTGTGAGATAGGCAAGAAGTAAGGCATGTAGCAACATCAGCAAGGCAGAGGGCACTCCTTTAAAGGCAAGGAAGGGCAAAAATATTTTAAGTCAAGTGATAGCGATTCCTGTATGAGTCGTACATAATTTCCTCTCCGTTATAGATCTTAATTATATGTATATATATATATATACATAATTTTTTAAATTGGTATCACTCCTTGCCATGAAAGGGTGAAGGCACTAAAACACTATATATATATATATATATATATATATATATATATATATATATATATATATATATATATATTTTTTTAAATTGGTATCACACCATGAAAGGGTAAAGACACTAAAACACAAGTTGCATAAAAAGTATCACATCACTCAATATGTTATTGTAGATATAAAATTATATATTATAAATGGAATATTTATATAAATACCGTGAAAATTTATTCAAATCGATCTTTTCATTTTTAATCATTTCAAGTCCAAGAAATTCTATAATGGCACTGAGATGAAAATGGTCATTGGAGGTGAAAAAAAATAGGAATTCCTTCAGAGAAGGAACCAAAAACCTAATCTTAAACAGTAAACAAGGGATAAACCTCTACTCCTGTTCAAAAGGAGTGTGAAAAGAGCGATAGGCGAACCCATCTACTGTTATTAATTTTGTTTAAAGCATAGTTCTTCACAATAAAATCTGATATATTATGTATTAAAAAAAACAAAACAAACATAATTTCCAACATACAAAATCGAAGAGTAGTCAAATAGATATTCTCTCATAAAATCGATTTGATCATAATTATTTTATTCTTCCATTTAAGTACAAAGAGAAGCCGTGAATAAGTTGTATCAAATCGGAAATGTTTCTACAAAAATGATCGATTTTTCACGCCAATTTGAGCTTAGCAATTTTTCTAACTGCATTTTCATAAGCTAAGTGGACTACCAAACGCATTCATTAAACAATATAATGTCAATCTATCATGATACTGAACAGATATGATTTATGAGAAAAGATATGCATGCTTACACATGTCAGGACTGTCAGTATTTTACGAAATCTAAAAACAACACCATTTGTAGAATTCATGACACGCTTTAACGTAAAAAACTGAAATGTATTAGTTATTACTTATGGAGATTCTCCGTTCGTGTGTATATATATATATGCCATATATATATATATATATATATATATATATATATATATATATATATATATATATATATATATATATATATTTCGAATCTCACCATGGTCGATTTGTAAAGACGGAGATTTCCTGAGCCAGCGGACTGGATCGAGGGTCGATCCCAGCGTGCGCACATTTGAAAAGTGCTTGAAAACGATACCACGTGTTGACCCCCCCACCATGTGAGTTAAATTGGGTGTGCTAGCACGAAGTCACAAGACCTTGTTGAAAGTGTTGATCACGCTAGATAACACGCTCTTTCCCAGAAACTGTAACTAAGGTCTGCTCAGCATCAGTCAGTCAGTTATGTGCCATGCGTGAGACACGCGGTGGCGATAATGTATCTTTCGATACATGACTGACGAGGCAGAGTTTTTTTTTTTCCCCCGCAGTAGATTGCCATTTCTTTCGGTGATTGAACAGTTGCCATCCTTGGATGTAGAACCCGGTCTGTTCTGCTATTTACCCATAGCTGGCTGAGAAGAACAAAATTCCTAAGGGTATTAGCACCTAAGGGAATGTAATGGATTAGACTGGAAATTGAACTCGGCTCTGCGATTCTTCAATCCGAGCCACTATCCATTACTCCAACGTGCCTGTATAAACCACAGCGTGTGTTGAATAGATAGAAATGTGCCTGAGCAAATGTCTGCATTAGGGACTGGATAGAAGCCGGGTTTCCTTGAATATGAGTGACCAGCTATACTCTGCATGTATTTAGCCAAATAGTTAGAGCATTCGCCTTCTGACCATGAAGCCCGCGTTTAAATCACATCATAATCGATTTGTCAGGATGGTGACTTCTAGATGTTAAGTTTCTAGCATGTGGCACCTTAGACATGTGCTTGAAAACTATACCATGGTTTGACCCTATCCTTGTGAGGGAAATAAGGATGGTTGTGCAAGCACGAAGTCAAGTCATTGTGATCGAGGATTTGAGCGTGCTGGATTGGTTCAAACAGTTGATCACTACCAGGAACTGTAAAAAGGCCCGCTCAGCATCGTTTCAGTATAACTGCGTTAGTATAAATGTATATACATGTGTGGGTGTATGCATGTATATTTATTTATTTATATTATCGTATATATAATTGTTATTAGTAAAGATTTTAGTTCAGTTATTTACATCGAACATGTTTTATAAACACCAACTCTCACTGAGCATAATTTTATATTTATACTAGTATGGAATTATATATTTTCAATCTGAATCTATCTAGCAAGCTTACTAGGTACAAGAGAGTTTTAAAAGAATCTCCCATCCACCTCCCCGCAAAAACAAAAACAAAAAAAACTATTTGTTTGTGCACTGAAATACTAACAAGAAGTTTGGTCAAACGTTTCAAACGTTTAGTAAATATATACAATGTTTCACATTTAAATTTTCGTAATTTTGAAGAAAATAAAGAAGGCTTCCATGGGATTCGCTATTAATTTGCAGTATATTTCCTACAATCTGTATCTATTTCAAGTAGAATACATTTCAATATAGAAAGTCTTAAGCAATTTTCGGATTTTGGACGTTTCACAATATTAGCTGTTACTGAAAATTGCCAAAAAAACATTGTAATTAAAGGTATATATCGGCAAAACATGAATTTACAAAGACAAATATTTTGAACAAAATATTGAAATAAAAAATCCATGACAGCATGAGCTGCTTACTGTATGTTCTGAAACTAGATTTATAAATCGTTCATCCATTGATTTTGTGAACTCTTGTATTATTTTATACTAGCGGCATGGCCCGGCGTTGCCCGTGCTTGATTCAAAAATCGTACGACTCATACGGCAATCGCTATCACTTGACTTAAAATATTTTTGCCCTTCCTTGCCTTTAAAGGAGTGCCCTTTTGCCGAGCTGATGTTGCTATATGCCTTTATTCTTGCCTATCTCACACTGCGAATGTTTTCTAAGCTCTATACTAAACAATAAATCTGTTACAAAAAAAGAACTAAACAAAATGGCCACAAAACGATCAGCTTTAAAAAAGGACTCGTAACTGGAAAAACCGAATGAAAAAAGAATGTTAACAACAAATACTTTTTCACACCCAACCCAGTCCTGCGGAATCAGAATCAACGTTGTGTTTAAGCAAGCGAATGAGCCAACTGGAGTAAAGGGCCATGCAGATTTAATTTTTTCCCACTTTGACGAATGCAGCTATAGATTTATTTTTTTGCATGCTAGCATGCTAGTTAACATTCGTGTCAGTACGCTGTTGGCTCTCACGCTGGCCAATAGAATCTCCCTGCTTATTCGTGGCAGCCAGCTATAGGTTCTTACTCTGGCCAGTAGAAAATGGCCGCAAAGTACATAAAAACTGCCGTAGAAGCATGAAAAAATATATTATTTCCACTAGCGATGGGAGTTGGAAAATGCAAAGTCGGTCTTTGCCTTCCTGCTACCTTGGAGTATGTGCATGTAAATTTTGGTGCAAATCCGTCGAAAATGCGGCCGTGCATTCGTTACACACACACCCACACATCCTGCCTTTTATAGATAGAGATCCAACAAGACAGCCTCATGTAAGATGATATGGGCTTCGGTTGCGCAATAAGAGGCACAAAGAGCTACTCAATTTATTCTCAAAGTTTTGAAATAATTAGATTTCATCCATTGTCTAGTGTGAAGAATCTTTTGATTAACACCATTGCGATTCAATGCCACAAATCTGCTCTGTTACATTGACCACATCCAACGTCACATGATTGGCGTCTTCGTCCTAACCCTAACACTGATGGCTAAAACTTGCCAAAGAGCAACTCGTGATTTGGTCTCAGGGACACAGACGTTTCTGAATTCAAAGTTATCCATCTCCTTGATGTCCTATGTATGACGATAA